TATGATGAATATGTTCATTGTGTATGTCTAAAACATACCAATAAAATTAATTTTTGATAATAAATTTTTGATAATATATCCATTTTGACAATATTGGCTCTGCCTATCCTAGAATAGGGGGCTCCTTTCCATTTTCTGACATCTTCTTTGATATTCTTTTTCAGAGTGCTGTAGTTTTTATCATAGAGGTCTTTCATATCCTTGGTTGGGTTAACACCTAGGTATTTAATTTTCATTGATGGTATTGTGAATGTTATTTTTTCCTAGTTTATTTCTCAGTGAGGTCATTATTGGTGTATAGAAATGCTATTGATTTTTCTGCATTGATTTTTTACTGCTGATTTTTGTTATTAATTGTAGGCATCTATTAGTGGATTCTTTTTTGGGTCTTCTATGTATAGGATCATATCTTTTGCAAATAATGAAAATTTGTTTTTTTCCTATATATATCCTTTTTATTTCTTTCTCTTGCCTGATTGATCTGGCTAATAATTTGAGTGCTATGTTAAACAGTAGTATTGACAATGGACATTCTTGACTTGTTCCTGATTTTAGAAGGAAAGCTTTCAGATTTTTCCCATTTAATATAATGCTGACAGTATGTTTGTCATAGATGGCTTTTGTCAGATTGAAATAAGGTCTTTCTTTAACTTTTGTATTCAGTTTTTTTTTTATCATGAATGGATAATGGATTTTGTCAAAGGCTTTTTCTGCATCTATTGAGATGATGAGATTTTTGTCTTTGCTTTTATTTATGTGATGTATTAAATTGATTAATTTGCATATGTGGAACCACTTTCATTGAGACAGATCAAGTAAGTAAAAAATCAACAAAGAAATATCTGAACCCTACTTTTGAACAAATGGATTCACCAACTATCTACAGTAGTCTACCTTTTCAAAATAGAACATATATTCTTCTCAGCAGCTCACAGAATCTTCTCTAAAATAGACCACCTTCTAATTCACAAAGCCTCCTTAAATAAATACATATTAATTGAAATCGTCTCATGTACACTGTGAGATCATTGTGCATTAAAAGTAGAAATCAGTCAGAAAAGAAACCATAGAAAGATTATAAACAGCTGGGAACTTAGTAACACACTCCTGAACATTCAGTGGATCACAGAGGAAATTAAACAATTCTTGGAATCAAACGCCAGTGCCAGTACAACACAGCAGAACTTATGTGATACAATGAAAGCAGTCCTAAGAGGAGTCAATGTTCACATTAGAAAAACAGAGCAAGCTCATATAAATATCCTAATGATGAACTCAAGATACTTGAAAAACAACAACAGTCCAAACTGAAACCTAGTTTAAGGATAGAAATCATGAATATCAATGTGGAAATTATAAAGAATCAATGACTTGAAGAGGTGGTTCTTTGAAAGAATAAACAAAATAGACCCTTAACCAAAAGAAGGAGAGAAAAGCTTCACATCAATGCACCCCCAAAATCCAGAAGATTCTTAGTAACTACAATGAAACATTGTATTCCCACAAATTGGAGAATCTTGAAGAAATGAACAGATTCCTACACACATATGAATCACCAAAACTGAACCAAGAAGACAAAACCCCCCTGAACAATCCAATAGTAAGCAATGAAATTGAGGCCTTAATAAAAAAAAAATCCACCACCAAGACAAGTCCAGGACCTGATGGATTCACTCCTGAATTCTACAAGAAGTTCAGAGAAATTATAACACCAACACTCCTGAAATTCTGTAATGAAATTGAAAGAGAAGGAGTGCTTCCAAACTCATTTCTGAAAGCCAGCATTACTCTGTTTTCCAAACCAGATAAGGACCCAGTTAAAAAACAAAACAAAACTATAGGTCAATCTCCTTAATGAACACAGGTGCAAACATGCTCAATAAGATATTGGCAAATAGAATGCAACAAATCATCAAAAGGATCATACATCATGATCAAAGTTTCTTTTAAAAAAAAGTTTAATAAATATTTAGTATCATCTACAACCATCCCTAAGTTGAATCTGTTTCCTGGTATTTTTGTTTTGGTTTGGGTTTTTGAAGTGCAGCTGATGATGAGAAAAATCCCATTCTGGAAGAGATCGGTCAGCAGTGGCACTATGGAAAATCATGGTGGCTGTAGTATTGTGGGCAAGATAATCACAAAGGCAGAGTTTATTGCTATTTCAGATCCAAACTTTTTAGAAATAAAAGCACACACCATTAAGTTTGATTTACACTGTTAACAAAATTTAGTGCCTAATCACTTAGAAATGTTTGATAAATGATAAGTGGCTCTTGAGATTATGATTCTTAGGCAACAAGGCTAATCCTAAATTAATCCTCTTATTACTATTCTATTTGGTTAAATCAAAAGCCCACTCAGTTTTCTGGTGGGTCAAGTATACTTCTATTTCATTGATATTGATTCTTGTGAATAATTATGATTGATCTGTCAGCATTTATTACCACAGGGCTGGTGAAGGTTGTGTGAAGCTTTCTTGATTGTTTGTCTGAGTGATAAGGATGTGTCAATAGTGATTTTGACAATCGCACTGCTTTGGTGGTGATGTTGATACTGGGAGAGACTGTGAGTGTGGCAGGGAAGGGCACCAGGGGAATCTTGGTACCTTCTGCTCAGCTTTGCTATGAACCTAACACTGCTCTAAATGGTAAATTCCATTAGGAACAAACCCAACAAAACCTAAGCAAACAAAAAATCATTTATTAAGCATGGGAACTTCTAAGCATTTGTAGGAAAAACCTTTATTCCTTTTATTTTGAGAGGATTTTAGGAAATGGGAAAAGAAATGGAGCATTCTTGTATTTTTTTTTTCTATTAGAAAGAAATAGAAGATTTGGGTGATTTTCCTGGTAAAGAAAAAGAAGAGGAAGGGTAATAAGGATTTTCAGTTAAGTCCCACATCCTGATTTAAATTCTAAAAACTTTTTGTCTGAGTTATCAAGGAATTCATTTTCTTCTTACGATTGTCAGGCTCAGTTGGGTAGGTCTAAACTTAAATATGGTTAAGTTAACCAGTTTTCAGAAAAAATGAATCTCCTTTAGGAAATTTAAATATGGGAAAAGGTATATTTCTCAGATAGTCATATGATTGGTTTTCATGGGAATAAATAAAATATTATGTCAGGAACATATGGACTGATGTTTAAGAACTTAGCTGAAATGTATTCTCTATGTCTGATAGAAATTCATTTGTCTTTAGAGAAGCCATGTTGTAAACTTAGGTCAGATATGACAAACATACCTAAATTTATTAGTAAAGGTAAAGATAAAATTCATACAGCTCAGAAATTATAAAACTGTATTGTATTTAGAGGATTTTAAAAAAATTTCTTCTCCATTGTACCTTTTTCCAAAACTATCTTAGCCTTAAGATAATTGAGGTTGACAATTTCCCCAACAGATGCATCTTACTTAGCAAAAAGCTAATGTGTTAGCAGAAACTGTAAATAAACTTTCATGTCTTAGAAGACAAACATCTAAGAACTTTTCAGTATTTTTTGGAGAGGTTGATTGATTTAAATGTTAGTGAACAGAAAAGCCTCTTTTGAACTAGAAGCTGACTTGGAAGAAATGAAATGTTCAGTTAGAGTATATGAAAACTGCTCAAATGTCTCAGGAAATAAGAGAAGGCATGAACCTTCCTCCATTCTGTCTTGTTTGCCCTCTGTGCGGGAAGCAAAGTCCTGCAGAAAGGACTTTCAGATCTGTGAAGAGATCTGGTATTTCTGTGGCTGCTAAATCCCAAGGTATGGGTAACTCACATAGCCCCATGGGCGCTTCCCAGGGGACATCTTTAGGATTGCTTTCACCTGAGACTCAGGGACATGGTCCACAGATGCTAATGCAATGAAAATCATGAATTGGGACTGGATACCAGCAGAGGGGAAGCTGCCTGTTGTATCTCCTCAGGGCAGTGCCACAGGAGATATTTGACAATGTTAAAGTGACTTGAACTCCAGACCACATAGGACATCACAGTTCTTCTGATTTATAAGAAGGAGGCTGAGGAATTAGAAACAGCAAGTTCAAAATAATAATTTTTTGTGTGTATGGACTGTTTTAAAAGAAAACTTATGATATGTCTACTTCATTTGTAACTGCTTAAAATTGAATCTGTAATATCTTAAATTATAATTATTAGATAGGATGCCTCATTAGCATATTATTTTGCCAATCTAGTTCCTGGTTAAATGATTCTACTTGTTAATGCTAAACTAACCTGAATTGTAAGAATTATTTACACTTGTTGAATAGCACTCTGTTTCTAGGACTTTTATTCAACATGTTATCTTGTTCCATCAGACTTAATATTTCTCTTTTTTTTTTGGTACTGGGGATTGAACTTGGGCCCTTGCGCTTGCGAGGCAGGCGGCAGCACCACTGAGCTAAATCTCTGGCCCAACATTTCTTGTAAATACTTTTTAGGGGCTAATAGAAAATCCCCAAACCCTGGTCTTATGGATGTTTTAAAATGTTTTTATTATTACAGCGTCTCTATCTAAGTCTCCCAGAAACCTCAAAACCTCAAAACATGTGACTCAACTATGTTAAGTTTCTGAGTGACTGGGAACCTGCCCCAGGGGAAGTGAAGGGTTAGTCACGTTTCACCCTAGGAGGGATCATGGAAGACTGGGGGAGTTAGTCCTTGGACCAAACGACAACACAGCTGTTTTGGAGGAACTTAACAATTGCCTATGAGGCTCTAATTCTAGTCCCCATGGTCCATAGACTGGCCAAGAAATATAGTCAAAAGAGGAAGGAAAGATTTGCTACTAACTTAATGTTTGGAGGAATTGATTTTTAAGGGTGAATGTTATTTGGAGTTAATAAATTACGTGGACAGATTTCCAGAGTCAGGTGCTCCAAGTCACTGAGTTGAGTTTTAGTGTTGAAACAAGAGATACTGGGGACAGAGGGTTGGGGGTGGCAGCGGCATGGCTAGGGAGCGACCTGCCAGCAACCTGCTCCTCACAGCCCATCTGCGGTTGCCGGTACAGGGATGGAGTGTCTCACCAGAGCGGAAGCCGACATCATGCTGTTGGTGGACGGATCGTGGAGCGTCGGCCGGGCGAATTTTAGAACTGTGAGGAGTTTCATTTCTCGTATTGTAGAAGCCTTTGAGATTGGCCCCCAAAGAGTGCAAATTGGTAGGTTCTCCCCAAATTGAAGAGATTTGGACATTTTCATTGTGATTTTCTATATACCCCGATGCTGATAGTGTTCTTTTAGGCCTTGCTCAGTACAGTGGAGACCCCAGGACGGAGTGGCAGTTAAATGCTCACAGAGACAAGAAGAGTTTGTTGCAAGCGGTGGCAAACTTACCCTACAAAGGAGGCAACACTCTCACAGGTGAGCCGGGCGCCCTGGGGCTCTGTGCGCTCAACGGAGCCTTCCACAGGCCCTGGCAGAGAAGAGGTTAGACTGACTCCCTTTTAACTTCCCCCTAGGTTTGGCTTTGAATTTTATTCGCCAACAGAACTTCAAGACCCAGGCTGGCATGCGGCCTCGCGCTCGCAAGGTTGGCATTCTCATTACTGATGGAAAATCGCAAGATGATGTTGAGGCACCGTCCAAGAAACTCAAGGACGAAGGCGTGGAGCTGTTTGCTGTTGGTAAGCACAGAGAAGGATAGCGGTGCCCTGGGGTAGAGATGGTGAGGATATTCGTGTAGTTAAAGATATTGCTGAAAGTATGGGAAAACCAACAAACGTATCTTCTCAAGACATAATTCATCAAAATGATGTTCCAGGGAGTCAGTTCATTTCCCCCCTGCAATGAGACACAGCTGCATTTCTTTTTTAAGAAAATTTCTTTTTTAAGGAAAAGTAATGGATTAAGAAGAAATATATACTATTGATAGGATTCACAAAAATCCCTGTTTGGTTTTGTACAGATTCTTGTTTCTTTTCCATAACTGTTATTTACATTCCAGATTAAAAAAAATAAACACTGAAAAGACATTCTTTGGTGGGAAATTGGTGCTAGAAGCACTTAGAAGGCAATTTAGAATTCCTTTGAGACTAGATAATTTTTTTGTTTCTATTTTATAATTACTGATGAGTAGTCATTTTATTCCTAAGGAGAATAAAATATATGGTCCAGTTAACAAGTTATTAAACCTTCAGTTTGCCTAAAGCAGCCATTAATAACAAAAACACCTAAATACTTTCTTTATTCCATTAGCTTTTTTCGGAGAATGTTTTCAATTTTTATGTATCCATTTTCAAGGTATTAAGAACGCTGATGAAGGTGAATTGAAGATGATCGCCACGGATCCTGATGATATCCACACATACAATGTGGCAGATTTTGAGTCACTCTCCACTATTGTTGATGACCTCACCATTAACTTGTGCAACAGTGTCAAGGGTCCAGGTGAGTCTAGCCTAGAGTTTCTTCAGCACTATTGGTATTTTGGGACAGACAATTAATTTTTGGGTGTGGAGGGGAACTGTTTTGTGTGTTGTAAGATGTTTATCAGCATTGCTGAATTCTGCCTGTTGGATAGCAGTGGATTGCTTGAGTTGTAACATCTAAGAGTAGCCTTATAATTTCTAATATATTTTCATGTATACACGGCAAAGCACCTAAACTGAAAGTATTTTGAAAAATAATGATAAAAGTTATAGTCTTCTTATATGAAAAAAAGTCCTTTTAAGTACACATAGATTAGGGTAAAAACTATCATGAATTCACTCTTGTTTTAGAAAAGTTGAAATGAGTTTAACAAATAATGTGGTAGAAATAGTTCATTTGGTTTGGGTATGGAGGGTATATTTTTATTTTTAATTTACTTTTTATTAGTATATGTTTACATTCCTCATGGAGAGTTGATATGGGTACATAACATGTCTTGATTCCTGTTTTCATTCCCTTCCCCTCCACTCTCCCCGCTCATCTCTTAATCCCTTTTCTATTTGAGAATCACTATCTCTCTACTTCCTATTATTTATCTTTTATTTATGCTTCCGGGTTTCTCATATAAGAGAAGTCATGTGATATTTAAGTTTGTGTGTTTGTTTTTTTTTCAATTAATACAATGGATTCAAGGTGGATCCATTATCCTACAAATGACTCGTTTATCTTTCTTTATGGCAGAGTAGTATTCCATTGTGTGTAAGTACCACATTTTCTTCATCTACCTGTTGATGGCCACATATGCTATTTCCAAGATTTACCCATTATGAATTGTGCCTATAAACATAGGTATGCATGTATCACAGTAATATGATGTCTTTAACTCTTTCAGGAAGGTGCCTAATGGGGAATAGTTGGGTCAAATGGAATTTCTAGTTTTAGTTTTTGGAGAATCTCCATACTGATTTCCAATGAAGTTGTACTAGTTTACATTCTCTCCAACAGTGTAAAATGATTCCTTTTCCCCTACATCCCTACCAGCATTTGTTATTATTTGATATCTTGATGATGGCCATTCTTTCTGAGATAAGATGGAATCTCAGTGTTGCTTTAGTTTGCATTTCTCTAATGGCTAGTAATAATGAGCATTTCATGTACTTATTGACCATTTGTCTTTCTTCTTCTGTGAAGTGTTTATTCATTTTACTTGACCATTTTTTTAATTGAGACTTTTGGGGAGGCTAATTTTTTGAGTTCTTTATATATTCTAGATATTAGTCCTCTCTCTGAGAAGTAGCTGTCAAAATTTTTTTCCCATTTTGTGTGTTGTCTCTTCACTCTGTTCACTGTTTTCTTTGCTCTGCACAAGTTTTTTTTTTTTTTGGTACTGGAGATCAAACTTGGATCCTTGCACTTGCGAGGCAGGCGGTGGCACCACTAGGCTAAATCTCTGGCGCTCTGCAGAAGTTTTAAAGTTTGATATGATCCCATTTGTTGATTCTCAGTACTATTTCCTGGGGTACTATTCAGAAAATCTTTGCCTAAACCTATGTCTTTAAGAGTTTTATCTATTTTATCTTCCAGCAGGTTAAGTGTTTCTGTTTTAACATCTAGTTTTTTGGTTCATTTTGATTTTAGTTTACTATATGATGAGAGATGGGGGTCTTGATTCAATCTTCTGCATGTGGATAGCCAGTTTTCCCCAACAACATTTATTAAAGAAGCCATTCTTTCTTCAGTGTATATTTTTGGCCCCTTTGTCAAAGATGAAATAATTGAATGTGTTTGGAGTTGTTTCTGCATCTTCTATTCTATTCTGTTGATCCTCATGTCTGTTTTTGTGCTAGTACCATGCTTTTTATTTATCACTTGGTAGTAGCTTTGTATTAGCTTTGTAATATAACTTCAGGTCTGGGATTGAGATACCTTCTGCTTTGTTCTTGTTACCCAGGATTGCTTTTGCTATTCTGGGTCTCTTCTGGTTCCATATGAATTTTAGGATTATTTTCCCAGTTCTGTGAAGAATGCTATCAGTGTTTTGATTGGGATTGCATTAAATCTATAATCAGTATTGGAAGTATGACCATCATAATCATATTGGTTTTGCCTATGTAGGATTAGGGGATATTGTTCCATTTTCTAATGTCCTCTTTGATCTCCTTTTTTAGAGTATTAAAATTTTTGTTGTTCAGGTCTTTCGTTCCCTTCCTTAGGTTAATTCCTAAGTATTTTATTTTTCTTGGTGCTGTTGTGAATGATATTTTTTCCTAATTTCTTTCTCAATGGGTTTATTATTAGTGTACAGAAATACTATTGATTTTTGTGTATTGATTACTGAATTTAGTTATTCTAAGAGTCTATTGGTGGATTTTTTGTTTTTTTAAATGTACAGAATGATGCCATCTACAAATAATGAAAATTTGCCTTCTTCCTTTCCTATACATATCCCTTTCATTTATTTTTCTTGCCTAATTGCTCTTGCTAATGTTTTGAGTACTGTGTCGAACAAGAGTGGTGAGAGCAGACATCCTTGTCTTTTTCCTGATTTTATAGGGAAGGCTTTCAGTTTTTCCCCATTTAATGATGTTGACAGTAGGTTTGTCATAAATGGCTTTTATCAGATTGAGATTAGATCCTTCTATACCTATTTTATTCAGGTTTTTAAAATTATCATGAATGGATGTTGGATTTTGTCAAAGTATTTTATTCATCTATTGAGATGATCATGTGATTTTTGTCCTTGCTTATGTTTACTTGAGGTATTACATTTATTGATTTGCATATATTGAACCATCCTTGGATCCCTGGAATGAAGTCTACTTGGCCATGATGTATGATCTTTTTGATGACTTTTTGCCTTCTGTTTGCCAGTATCTTGTGGAGGAGCTTTGCATTTATAGTCGTTAAACAGATTGATCTATGGTTCTCTTTTTGGTCAGATACTTGTCTGGTTTCAGAGTCAGAGTAATGATGGCTTCTGGGAATGACTTTTGGAGTACTCATTCCTTTATAATTTTATTGAAGAGCTTGAGAAGTATTGGTGTTAGATCTTCCCTGAAGGATTTGTGCAATTCCAATATGAATCCATCAGTATCTGGGATTTTATTATTTTGTAGGTTTCTTATTACTGCTTCAATTTAATTGCCTGTTGTTGGATTATTCAGGGTTTTTAAGTCTTCTTGGTTTCATTTTGTTATTTCATATGTATCTAGAAATCTATCATTTTTTCTGAATTCTCCAAATCACTGACATACAGGTTTATGTCTCTAATTTTACAGGTCTGTGAAGTTGTTGCTAATAATCTTTTTGATTTTGGCAGTGTCTGTTGTGATTTCACCTTTTTCATTTCTAATTGCATTGACTTGGGGCTATTCTCTCCTCTTGAGGGGATAGATTGATTAATAGTTTTTCTATTTTGTTTATTTTATCAAAGAAACAGCAATTCAATTTATTGATTTTTTTGTTTTGGTCTCGATTTCATTAATTTTTGCTCTGATCTTTATAATTTTCTTCCTTGTACTATCTTTGGTTTTAGATTATTCTTGTTTTTCTAGGACCTCAAGGTGCATTGTTAGGTCATTTGTTTGGGCTCACTCTGTTTGTGTGATGCAGGCATTCACAACTATAAACTTCCCTTCTATGCCTGCTTTCATTGTGTCCCATAAGTTCTGGCATGTTGTACTGGCATTATCATTTAATTGTAGGAACTGTTTTATTTCTTCCTTGATTTCTTCCGTAATCCATTATTTAATTAAGAGCATATTGTTTAATTTCCATATATTTGCATAATTTATGTGTTTTCTTTTGTCATCAATTTCTAGTTTATTGTGCTATGATATGTTCATTTAAGCTTGATTTATTGGCTCATACATAGTCTATTTCAGAAAAAGTTCCATGTGCTGCTGAGAAGAATGTATTTTGTGGTTGTTGGGTGTAACACTCTATAGATATGTATTAAGTCCATTTGTTTGAAGGTTTTGTTCAGCTGTGATATTTCTTTGTTGATTTTTTGTCTAATTGATATATTTGATATACAGTTAATCTACTTATGCAAGTTCCATTCTGGAAGAATTATTCAAAAGTCAGATTCGTTTGAAAGCCAACAAAGTGAGTACTGTACAGTACAGCTGTGAAAGTCTGCAACTTGAATGTTTATAAGTCAAAGTCTTACTGTAGTGGGGTATTTATACCTTCCACTATCATTGTGTTTATATTTTTCTGGTCTTTTATGTTGAGTAGTATTTGTTTTATGAAGTTGGGTGCACCATTGTTTGGTGCATATATGTTGATAATTGTTATTTCTTCCCATGGATTGTTCCCTTTACTAATATGTAGTGACGTTTGTCTCTTTTGATCAGTTTTGGCTTGGTGTCCATTTTGTCTGAGTATACGTCTGCTTTATTTTTCAGGTTCCTGTTGCATGGAATATTGTTTTCCATCCTTTGATTTTTGGTCTGTGAGTTTCTTTTTGGGTTAAATTGTTTCTTGTATACCACATACTTTTGGATTTCTTTCTTGATCCATTATTCCAGTCTGTGTCTTTGATTGGTAAATTGAGACCATTCTTTATCTTCACCAAAGTTTTCCTGATTGACAACTTAGATATGTCTGCTGCCAACCGGGAGGACCAGAAGGATTTTCAGCAAATGATGACAGGCTTTCGAGTACAGCTAGCACCCAAGCTGGACTACAGCTTGCAGTCTGCTTGGGAGATCACAGCCCAATGGGTGGTGCCCTGAGAAGTGTACCCTGAAGAGACCCCAGAGCTGGGGGCAATCATGCATACCATGGTCACAAATAAAATCATTAAAGCTAATGTGGGTTATAAAGGGATGCAGCTGAAAGCCTTACTGATACTTGAAGGAGGACAGAAAGTTGTCTTTAAACCTAAGTGGTATAGCTGAGACTATGTGGTGGGAGGGGAGCCACATGCTGGTTATGATAGACATAATGCAGAGGTGGCAGCCTTTCACTTGGACAAGATTCTGGGTTTTCACTGAGCTCCTTTGGTGCTTGGCAGATTTGTTAATCTAAGGAGAGAAATCAAGCCTGTTGCCACAGAGCAGCTGTTGAGCACCCTCCTAACCATAGGAAACAATACTTGTTTGTATGGGAAGTGCTTTCGCTGCTGAGAAATAGAGCTGGCATATGCCGACAGAGACACGATGGAGGGATCTCTCACACTTTGGCTTCCAGATGTATGGCCTCTTCAGAAACACTGACACCCCTGGGGCGGGACTTACCAGCAAGGCAAGTTGGCCAGGTGGGAGTATGATGAAAGCTGTTGTGATGCTGTGAAAAAAAGTCCCCATATGACTCAGGCCTGCACCTCTTGGACATCATTGACAACTCTGTCTTTGATTACCTGATTGGCAATGCTGACCACCATCACTATTAGAGCTTTCAAGATGATGAAAGCACTAGTATGCTCATCCTTCTCGATAATGCCAAAAGCTTTGGGAACCCCTCATTGGATGAGAGGGGCATTCTTGCCCCTCTCTATCAGTGTTGCGTCATTCGGGTTTCCACTTGGAACAGACTGAACTACCTAAAGAATGGAGTGCTAAAGTCTGCCTTAAAATTTGCCATGGCCCATGACCCCATCTCCCCTGTGGTCTCCAATCCTCACCTGGACACTATGGACCAGCAGCTGCTGAGTGTCCTGGCCACCGTGAAGCAGTGCACTGACCAGTTTGGGATGGACATTGTACTAGTGGAAGATAGAATGCCTCTCTCCCACTTGCAATACTTAACACGAAATAAGTGACACTTAGTTTAACAAAGAGAAATAGCACAGTCAATTCCAAATGGTATCAGATGGCTTTGGAAGTTGTCAACAGCAAATTTTGGTAGTAGAGGACACAGTGGTGTTGGATGTCTTTGGTGTTTTCTGAAGTAGAAACTAAGGCAGACATATTTCAGAGCATGATATGTTCCTGCAGAACCACCTTCTGACTTTCTCAGTAGTGGCCAATTTTAGCAATGGGCATCAGCGTTGGTCAGTTTGAATTCCCTTGCCAAAGGACAAATAGAAGTGTGACATTGGAGAGGTGGATGCTGCAGTTCTTCCAGAGTGTGTTTTGAGGTGAACCTTACAGTCCTTTCTCCACACTGGTGGATTTTGTGGAAACACTTTATAATTTCTTGTCTTTTTTTTTTCAACCAGGACTACTCAAATTGGAAAAGCATACTGCTACCCACAGAGTAGCAGCAAATAAAACCTTGCATTCTGTTGAGCCAAAAAAAAAGAAAGAAAAGAAAGACCAAAACAAACAAACAATAAATGAATGAATAAGTAAAAGAAAATAGGAAAAAAGACTCCAAACACTCTCTCTCACACACACACACAAAACCAATAAAGGAGAAAAACATGAGTCAAAAAATTCATATGTACAGACTGAGTTCCAGTCCTCCAATGAGTTCATTGATTGAATTGGCCATTAAGTGAGGAATTTTGCAGATTTTCTCTTTATTCTTGGCAAATATCTTCTGGGGTTGTGATCGAGGCTCTGTTCCCAGTTAAAGATCACTGCTCTAGTCTGATTTTTTTCTGATTTGGTTTTTGAATTGACACCAGTCTAGAAATTGGCTTCTGGCTTATTTGAGGATACATATAGTTTATATGTGCTACAGAACACACACACAAACACACACACACACATAAAAGGGGGTAGAGGGAGAGAGAAAAAGAGATGTTTCCTCTTGAAGTACATCTATGCTGTAATATAGATCTCCACCCTAATTACAATATTGATCAGATGGCTTATCACAGACTTTGTTCTCTAAAGTATGATTTTTAAAAAAAATATTTGATTTGCTTTGCCACAACTGTATATGATCAGATTTGATACTTTCTACTTGTAACCCTGAATATAAAAGGAAGTTATAATTTTAGAGTTTGAATGTTTAGAAATTATATAATCTATATTTACTAGTGAAGAAACTGAGATCTAGAGAAGTTAAATTAGTTTTTCACAGTCAAAATAGCTAAGGATGTTTTCATAAGTGTTTGGAAAAAGTAACTGCAGTTAAGGAATGAGGATTTAGAAACAAAATTCTAGAACTAGATTTGCAGTGACAAAGAATGACAAAAGATGATTATTATCTGAATAAGTCATAGGATATAAGCATCAAAATTAAAGGTTTTTGGAAAATTACTGATAAAACTTATTGCTCTTATTATATGAGAAGTGATTCATTTTAAGTACATGTAGATTATGTTAAAAACTATCCTGCATTAATTCATTCTGGTTTGGAAAAGTTGGAATGAGTTTGACATATATTGTGATAGAAATGGTTTGTGTGCCTTGGACATTGATGATACTTTTTAAAAAATGTTCCTTGTCAAATTTCTCTCACCAAACTTTTGGAGATTTTCTCTTTTAGATTTTAAACAATAGGCTGACTTTTTCCCTGAAGTAAAAGACTAACTGGGCAGTCAAAATCTATAGGCTCTTGGCTCTAGGTTAGCGGAAAGAGTTGTTTTATTCAGTTGGAGAGAACTTTGGGGATGAAAACATCTGTTTTATTTTTAAAATCAGCTTTGTAATAATTTGATTCATTCTAGTTTCCCACACAGTAAAATTGCTTGATATTTTTGTAACCTTGACTATGATCTAAGTACTATAAAGTTTGGGCCACTAAGACTGGAAATATTGTCTTTGGTTTTGACTTAAGAAAGAATTTATATGAAATTGATTTGCCATGTTTATGGAGTCATTGGGTGAATTCTTCTTTCTTTATTATTTGGAACATCTTCCTGTTAATCAAATTGAGTTTAACATTTATATTTTCATTGATATTTATTCTAGATATTGTTATATCTTTGTCATCTCACTCTGTCTACCCACAGAGAGCACAACCACAGGCAGTGGGATGTTCCTAAATTTTAAAATACTTGTTTGTTTTCACCCTGTCTTGAGTGAAAAATGATTAATTTCTCTTATAACTGAACTAGGGAAGTAAACATGTAATAAGAAACTAACTCTGCAGTAGAACTAAATATGAGTAAGAAGCCACTTTTACCCTCACAGAACCTAACTTTCAGCTAAGGAGATAAGACATGAGTGCATGAAACCAAGATGACAGTGAAGGCCTGGGGCAGTGTCTCAACAGTGAGGGAGACAACAGAGACGCTGAACTTGCAGGACCCAAATCCTTATTTACTGGTTACATAGGAGGACAGAGTGAGGAGAATACGTCCAAGGAGGATGTCAAGGTTTTGGGAATAGGTGACTGTTTAACTGGTGGTGTCACAGAGAAGAGGAGAAGAAAGTTTAAGGAAAAACGAGCTGAGGTTCAAATCTTCCGAAGCTAAAGGACCCTTTGCTCATTCAGAGAGGCCCCATGGTAGTGGGCCTCTGTACAGACATATTTTCTACTTATGTGAAAGGCAGCGTGTGAAAGCTAGAGACAAGCGTTCACTGGTGTTCCAGATCAGTACTGTTTCAGTGTAATTTCAAACTTCATTCCTTGGTGCAGTAATGAGAGTGCATGTGCTTTATTCCCACATGCAGGTGACTTGGAAGCGCCTTCTGACTTGGTTATTTCTGAGCGAACTCACCGTTCTTTTAGAGTGAGCTGGAAACCTCCTTCGGACAGTGTGGACAGATACAAGGTGGAATACTACCCCGTTTCAGGAGGGAAACGCCAAGAAGTGAGTAGACAGCACCTCCACCCACCCTGTTCTTGCACTGAGACAGGGTCCTCCTCACTAGGGCTGTGGGCAAGAGGGACGTGGGGAGGGCAGAACTGAGCAGGGAACAGGGCTTTCTGCGCCCTGTGAGGCAGACTCACACATTTGGGCTTAATGAAAGGGGAAGAGCTTTGCTTATGTTCTTATAGATTCTAAGAATTGCTGGATCTCAATGAGTTTTTTAAAATTAAAATTAATTTTTGGATGATGATTTATTCATGAGTTTGTCCTAGAATCATAGATTTGGCAAGAGATATTAAAGATGATCTAGTTTTACTCAATCATTTTAAAATAAAACAGCAGCTGGGTGAATAAATTATGTGAATTTTCTAAAATCTCATCGTAACCCAATAGTTTCTAAAAGCAAAAGACAATAGCCTCATCGGAATATAGTTTCTAATGTCAAGGTAGTGAACTACTTTGTAAAAATAATAGAAAAATGAACTGATCATAACATGCATTTCTGTTCCTTTTCATTTTCCCCCTTAGTTTTCTGTGAATCGGCTGAAAACCAGCACAGTGTTAAAAGATCTGGAGCCTGAAGCTGAATACGTTGTGAATGTCTATTCCATGGTGGAAAAGGAATATAGTGAGCCTCTGAAAGGCACAGGAAAAACCTCTAAGTGAAATTAAGCACACACATTTGCACATACACATGCATGCATGTGCACACACATTTTCTTACTGTTTTATTTTCCAAGATAAAAAGATGATACCCATGTGGGATTTTTTGTCACCCTTTGAAATCATCTCTCAACTTAATATCTATTCTATGAATATTTACCAAGTGCCTTTTTTGTGTAAGTGCCCAATAAACGCTAGATGGTTACCCAGTCTTGCTGGCTGCTCCTGCCCCTGCAGACCCCACTCTTGGCACGTGGGGGCCACAGCCATAATTTAGGGGAAATAAACCTTTAGAAGCATTATCACTTCTTAGAGTCTTGGGACTTTCAAGAAAATCTTTTAAAGTAGATAATGTGAAATAGAAAAGGGGCAAAAGGGAAGGGGAAGTGGGAGGAGTAGGGGAAAGGAAAGAAGGGAATGGAATTAATACGAGAAAATGAAAAAATGGAAGCAAAGTCTTTGTAAGTAGGGAAGGATGGAGGGGTTGAAGGGAGGGCAGGGGAAGGGGGAAAAAATAAGAACCAAGAGGGATTATGTAAAGATGCAAATTTCCAATGATGACGTCATTATATTGTATACCTAAAATGTACCGATAAAATTAATTAAAAAAATAAAATGCAAATACACATTTCAAGAGAGTAAAACTTTAGATCTTACTCCTGTTGTTATATAAGGACATTTACCTGGAGAACTGAGCTCTCTTCCTTATAACATCCGGAAATGTGCAGGTGGGAGGGGCCCACGGCTCTCTGTTGGCAATGACCTCTTCCTGCTCAGTCTGTCTCTGGCCTTTACTACGTTCCTACCTGATGGCTCTGGCTCTGAGTGGAGCTCTGGGAGGAGATGCTCACTGCTCCGGGTCCTGGTAGTGTTTCCAAGACCATCGGAAAGTCTGCTTTCCCTCTTCCTGTTCCTTGGCTGGCACCTGGGGGAGGAAGGGAAGCCACTTACAAGAGGAGGGAGTGCATAAGAGCTGATGCTGCTGCTTGCTCGGTTCCCAGTGCTTCTTTCTTCTCTTCTACCCCTTCATGTCAGACCACAGGACATGGGAAATAATCTATTTCGGTAATTGGCGGGATGGATGTGATAATTCCTTAAAACTTTAAAATCAGCCTTTGAACTAAAAATAATAGAGAATTATATGGCTATTAAGTGGTGAAGAGATTAAGAGCTTTTACTCTGCTCCATGAGCTTGTCTCAAAAAAGACCTGTACATCTCCTAAGTTCCAGATATTTATATATAATACTCTAATTTTAAATGAATTTTTTTCCAAAAAAGATGAAATAAGATGCTGTGTTGGTGGCTTCTGTTCTATGACAGAAGCATAGGCAGTCTTTCAAAGTTCTCCCTAACCTTCTGGAACAGTCCAAGGAAATCCAACACTCTTTATGTGAGGACTGAAAAGAGAAAGGAATGAATTATAAGGTTTTGTGTACTGAGGAGGAAGCGGCATTGATATGCAATTTCTGCTCTCAGATCCCTGGTCCTAAGCAGGTTTCCACAAGGGGCAGGTGTTCTTTCCCCAACACTTGTTCTGAGAGTGGAGGTAATGGGGACAGTGACGATGTTCCTTGTCCTGGGCTGAGCCCCCTGCCTTCATTCTCTCCATCCATGTCAGCGGGCATTCCTCGGGGGCTTCTTGGCTTCTGAGGTTTCTCAGGACCCTGACCTTCCACAAAGCATTGTTCAATTGCTTCATATTGCTTAGGGAAATAAAATTTAGTAATGTATTTAAAAAGTTAATGTTTGGTCTCAAATCGTTAATACAAGATGGTTACCTTGTTTTTTGTTTTCTGCATAGTGCATTCTGAGGTAAAGTGCATTCTTTAGGATGTTTACTTCCTTTTCCTGAGTAAGCTAATTGTAAGCCCCATTCTTTAGGGAATTCCCCATTTAGAAGCAGATACTTTAGTTCCTCCTCTGCCCAGTTTAGTTCATCACAGAGTAGAGGTTACTCACGTGTACACACACACACACACACACACGCACACACACACAGCCCTTTTTAACAATGAGCTTGTTCTTTTCGTCTCCCTGCTCTGACAGTCTGCTTCTCCAGTCAGAAAAACAAATGAGACTGTCCTGGTGGGGTTCATTTTAGTGAGAACAGGTTGTAGGGATAAGAAGGAATGGGCAGCCTAGGACACGACCTGGACGGGAGCATAACTGAGATAACTGTATGGCGTGATTTATGGGAAGGGCTGCCCTCGGTGGGGCCTTTGCATACTTTTTGCTATGTGCCTTCCTGTGAACCCTGGCTCATCCAGAAACAAAGGCTAAGACCCTGATTTGACCAATCAGAGAAATAGTTATTTTTAGAAAATCAGTTTACCCCTATAAATATGGAAAAGGCAAAGACATCAGACTGAAAACCTCACCTCGAGCTTCTCCTCACCATGCAGCTTGCTGGCAATATCGTTAGTAAAACTTCTGTACTTCACTTTCCTTGCCTGAGCTTCTCATTCTGAGCTAGAGAAACTTTTGGTTCTGAGTCAGACTCACTCTGCCTCTGCATTCCTGCCGGGGTGGAGAGAGCAACCAGGGAAGTGGAGGGTCTCTTGATAGGGGGACCCCAGCCCCCCAGACCTTTGCCTGATGCAACAGTATGAATTCATAGGATTTGCTGGTCATCGTTTTAGGTTATTCACAACAAATCTCCATCTAATACCGGTCCTGTTATCTTGCTGGGATTGATATCACCCTCATTACTGTGTGGGTTTTAGAATCTATGACCTCTCATTTTTGAGCACTAAGATTGCATTTGCCCACTACCAGTGTAGTTCCATTCCTCAGTGCTCCTAGATGACTGAGTGCAGCTGCACCAGAAGACTGGGATGCTCCAGATGTCCCGTCACTTCCTCACATCCCTTGAACTGTCCACAGTTCCTCCTGTGTTTTTCTTCCAAGCATGAAGCTTACTATGGCTGATGAAGACAGAAACCATACAGGAAGTAAGTAGCCTTACTTTCCCCGTCATTTTTGTTTTTCAGCATGGTGCATCCAACACAGAGCAGTATTTGACACACAGTAGGTGCTTAATAAATGTTGAATAACTGAATGAATTCTTTGCAAGCAGCAGGTTTATCCTATCCACTTTTCTCATGCTCAGCTTTGAGGACTTGGCTGTATTTAGTGGAGAGAGTCGATATTGGTCCCCTTCTGAGTGAGAGTTTATCTTGCTTAAATAAAGTTTGGTTTATAGGTTTAAACTGAAATATATTTTTTTAATATAAGAGGACTTTTGTGAACATTTGATAGATTCAGCCTTCAAAAATGTTAATTCTAAAATGTTACCTTTCCTTTCTTATCGAATAAGCAAATTTCCATATATTGGCCATAATATGTGTGTCTTTCTTTTCAGATGCCCTCAGTCTCCTCTGGAAGAATAGTGTCATTCCTAGTGTCCCGGATGGCACTTCTTTGTCAGTGACTTCCAAGTTTCAAGTCTTTACCTAAGCTCTCTTGAGTTTTCATTGGGCTTTTTCTTCCTTCTCCACTTCTCTCTCTCCTTTTTCTTTTCAGTACCAGACATTGAACCCAAGGCCTTTGCCCTGAGCTTCATCCCCAGTCTTTTAAAATTTTTTATTTAGACAGGTTTTTGTTGATTGCTAAGTTACCCAGGCTGGGCTTGAACATGCAACACTCCTGCTCAGCCTCCTAGGGTGATAGGATTACAGCCCTGTCTGTGCCAGTACACCTGGCCATGATTTAGCATTTTCAAGAAGCTGCTTAGTTTCGCTATCTAAATGCCCAAGGAAAGACATATACATTATTCTGTTAAAAATCATTCTCACTGTTACCCTTCCTCTTCCTCAGACTCACCAGTCCTCAGGTGGCAAACTTGAGAGATGCAAATTAAAACAATGCTGAGATTCCATCTCCAGAAACAATGGCTACTGTCAAGAAATCAACCAATAACAAATGCTGGGGGGCCTGTGAGGAAAAAGGAACACTTCTCCACTGCTGGTGGGAGAGTAGACTGGAACAACCACTGTGGAAATCAGTATGGAGATTCCTCAAAGAACTAAAACTGGAAGTTCCGTTTGACTCAGGATTTCCCTTCTTGGTATCTTCCAAAAGAATTAAAAGCATCATACCACAGTGATATATGCATACCCATATTTATAGCGGCACAGTTTGAAATAGCTAAATTTTGGAAACAGCCCAAGTGTCAATCAACTGTTGAATGGATAAAAAAGATGTAAATAAGGTCCAAAATGTAAAATGGACATTGGGAAATGGGAAGGAAATGTTCAAATGAGATGAGGAACAAGGGAGGAGGGAGGGGCAAGGGAAAGAAGGGAGAAGAAAAAAAGAGATATGAGGAAAAATGGAAGCAAAACTGTTGTAAATAAGGAGGGGAAAAGGGATTGAAGGGAGGGGAGGAGAATGGGAAAAAGAAGCAAAATATATCATGCACAGGTACAAATTCCTTATGATGAATGTTATGTATATTTAAAATGAACCAATACAATTAATTAAGAAATTAAAAACATTGCCACATTAATAAATAATACTGCATTACATAACAGACTAGGATGTTCTTTTAAGGTTATTTTTGCTTGTAAATGTTTTAAAATTTGAGCTCTTTTCTTTTTTTTACCAGTAATAGTCATTATCAATAGTATTTACTACAGCTAAGAAGAATTAATAGTGATAATATGATAAATTTTCATAAATGACCTCAAAGTCATAGATCAGCAGTCTTCACTAAAGCCTTTTTCAGTTTACCTCACATACCTCTAAGGTTTAACTGGTTTTTGTCATCTATTCTACAATTCTGGAGCATTATCTGTCCAATTTCCATCTTGATCAGAGGATGGTCCAACTGGACAGACATCTGAAATATAATCCATAAAGAGATAACCACAACAAGGTAACAAATAGAAAATATTGTGATTATTAAGTCAGCTCTCTCTGAGATAAGATTACCTTTAAAGAGATAATAAAAGGAAACACATAAAACCCTCAAACACACACAAAATCTTTATTTTTACTGGAATAAAACTATTTTTGTTGTATTTTTGTCATTCAAAATTTTGAAAATGAATAAAATGTGAGAAACTGCTACTTATAAAGAAGAAGGATCTAAATTTATTGTCTAAAAATAGCATCCCTTAATATGACTCCTGGGAAATTCAGTGATTCAGAAAATAGCCATAGAAAAGAAAACTAAATGACCATAGAAAAACCAGAAGTATTTTGTTTCTTTTAAAAAACTAGACTTGTTAAATTAAAACATCTGGGTCAATATACATTTTTAATGTTAATAGCACATCAATTTCTCCTCGACTGTACTAA